TAGAACTGCCCTTGTGAACTTCCAAGACAGTAACTGTTTATGGGAGTAGAAAGCCGTCTTTCTCCCAAGGAGTGGCTAGTGGTTTCAAACTTGTGGATCTTGCAGATCTCAGCCCATCATGTAACCATGAAGCCACCAGGATGTCTTTGGTAAGGGGGACAGTGTAAGCGTCCAAGGAGAGCTGCCTCTGGGTGATTCGGATCCACATCCTGGGTCCGTGGTCAGCCTTTCTCTTCATAAAAGGATTTAAGATACAGGTAGCCCCCTCCATCCCCACAACTCCTTCTACGCTGCCTTGGATGTTAGTTTAACACCTTGGGGTGCTTTCTGTCTTTGGATTTCATTATTATTGCTTGGTAAAAGAGAGGGTTTGCGAAAGAGGGGAAGCCCCTCAACAAGATGCACTGTCACAGTGGCTGCAACAGCAGGCTCACATACAGCCAGGATTGTGGGCGGGACATGGGACCGGGGCGGGGTTTCCTTCTGTTGTAAGCTGAGTGGGAACAAACTTCAAGGCCCCTAATAAGCAAGAGGCTGTCTTTGTAAGTTGTAGCATTGAACATCTGAAAACGATAATACTCACAAATTACGCACTGCCACCTTGCCAGAGGACCTAGTGTGAAGGACTGAAAACAAAGCAAAACAGGAGCAAACCTGCTGCCATCGGGTCGCTCCCTCCTGGCTCATAGCCACCCGGTACAGGGTTTCATCCTCTGTAACTCTTTACAGGCGCATTCTTCTCATCGTTCTCGCTCAGAGTGGCTGGTGAGTTTGAACCCCTGACCCTGTGATTAGCTTCCCAATGCTTTCCATACAGCGCCACCAGGGCTCTGCATTACTAATGATGGGATATGTTCAAACGAACAAACAAAGAAAACTAAGAAAAACCATTCTAAGTGCAGTTCTTCGTATCTGGAATACATTGTAAGCCAGGGGACAGAGTGGCAATGCCCCTGTGAGTCTCTAAGGCTATAAATCTTGACGAGAGCTGAGAGCCATAGCTCCCTCCCCTGGAGCAGCTGGTGTGTTTGAACGGCTGAGCTTGTGGTGTCAGGCCAGCGTATCCCCCACTGCACCTCGTCCGTGCAAAAGCTAAGCCAAACCAAACCAAAGCCAATGTTGACTCAATGCGGCCCTAACGGACAGGGCAGAACAGCCCTGTGAGTTTCCAAGACTGTAACTCTTTACGGGAGTAGAAAGCATCGTCTTTCTCCCTCGGAGAGGCTGGTGGTTCTGAACGGCTGACCCTGCCGTGGGCCACCCAATGCATAACCACTATGCCACCAGGCTGCCTAGTCCTTACCAAGAGCCAGTGATTTCTCCTTTTTCCCATCAAAGGACCGAGAGTCACCGTCTTAGCCCCGGGGGCTGGTACGCCCCCCACCGTGAGCGCGGAGCTCTGCATGTTGTCCCTGTTGTTGGGGACCGTCGAGTTGGTTCCAACTCATAGCAATCCTTCCTCGTGCCGCGGCCGAAGGAGTGCCAGTCCTGCACCGTCCTCCCAGGGCTGTCATCTTTGAACCCACTGTGGCGGCCACCAGGCCAATCCATTTCATCCAGGGTCTTCCTCTTTTAAAAAGAAATTTTTAACAGCTCTGTGTAGACAATAGGTCCTTGTCTCGTGTGGGGGAGCAGACAGATTTCCTCAACAGTCAGCGCTATGTTAGTGACTGCGTCTGGGTGCTTGGCCCTCATCTACACCCTAAGTTCTTCATTCTCTGCGAATGTCCCTGTCCAGGCAGCCTGGGGACAGGCGTGGCCAGGCCAACACCATTGAATCTTATAGATTGAGTGGCTAACCGGGCATCGGCCCGCCATCACCCCCCATCTGGTCTGTCCTGGATCGCACTTAGAAATCAACAGTGCAGAAAGCCTGCCTCTCCTTTGATGACCGGGGCTGGGTGGTGTCTGGAAAGGGACATGATGATGGCCCAGGAGCAGCGAAGAAGTCAACCACGCCGAGATCTAGGCCATCACTGACCGGAAGCCTCGGACAGAGCTGTGCAACCAGCCAGAGGCCGCCTGCCACCACATCCTAATTCCCGCAGAAAACAAGGATTCTTCCCGAATAAACTTGCATGCCCCTGTCCATTTCCAAACAGTTGGTGACTACAAGAGAAGTCGGATGTGCAAATATTGACCTCAGCTGGACAGGGGCTCGTTTCTTAATTGATAA